AAAGCCAACGACAAGTAACCAAGAACGCGATTAATATGAATAAATTGAAAGATATAAAAAGAAAAACGAGATTGAGAGCAAGAAGGATTCTTATTCCGAATTCGCGTAAGAACGGTTACAACGAGAGTTGCCTTAGCTGCGTGAGCCGTCGGCGAAATTCCTAGTTCTAGCAATCTAAGACTAAAACCCTAGTTGAGACACAGCTCGATAACGAAAACGGAAAATTGCCTAAATGCTAAGTTTGGTGGTGAAAGCTCTGAAAACTCGTCCCTCAGCTTATGCCCTCTGCCTCCTCCTTATATACTCCTCCTTAGGCGGTTTTAGTCTTTCCATTTTGCTCGAAACCGAATATTTCGGGAACTTTCCATATATGTCGATCCTTCCTTTTCTTCTGCGGAAATCTTCTATTTATCTTCAAACTTGCCTTTTATCTTCCGTATGCGAGTAGACCGTCAAAGCGTTATCATATCTTCGGGTTTGATTTCGTTAACGTCGCGAGATGGGTTTTTATCGTGTTTTAGGACCTTTCGGGCCGTTTTACGATAAAACCGTTTTACGACTTTAACGAGATCGTTTCCTGACCCGATGTCGTTTTTTTACGATTCTCTCGACGTTTTTTTATTAAAAACGCGTTTTTCAAATCTTAACGAAGAATCTCGGATAAATCGTATAGTTTAGGCGACGTTCAGTGTTTTGATTAACCGTTACCGTTTTATACGATTTCTTCGAGTTCTTTTCTGGAAAACGGAGTTTTACGGTTTTTATCGTAAAACTCGAACGATAGGACGGATCGAGACGAAACGGGAGACATTTCAACCGTGATTCGGAATACGATCGTGTCAAAGGACGTATGCCTTGAATCAAGGATGTGGGAGATCGAGGCTCGGGATGGTCGACTCGACGTACGGCGAGCTAGTTCAGCTTGGCTAGGTCGCCATATGGCGAACTAGGCGAAAAGAACCAATGGGGCAAAGTCAGCACCTCTTAGTTCGCCCAATGGCGATCTAACCGGGACGGGACTAGTTCGCCCATTGGCGAACTAGTCGAGTGCCACCTAGTTCGCCCATCGGCGGCTTAGTTCGCCGATGGGCGAACTAGTCGAGTATCTCCTAGTTCGCCCATCGGCGAACTAGTCGAGTGCCTCCTAGTTCGCCCGTGGGCGAACTAGTCGTGACTAGTTCGCGTTTTACGGCTGTTTCGGTTTTTTGCGGTTTCGTAAAATGATTCTTCGAGCTTTATAAAACGATTCTTCGAGTTTTATAAAACGATTCTCGAGTTTTATAAAACGATTCTTCGGGTTTTATAAAACGATTCTTCGAGTTTTATAAAACGATTCTCGAGTTTTATAAAACGATTCTCGAGTTTTATAAAACGATTCTCGAGTTTTATAAAACGATTGTTCGAGTTTTATAAAATGATTCTTCGAGTTTTATAAAACGATTCTCGAGTTTTATAAGACGATTCTTCGAGTTTTATAAAACGGCTTTTCGAGTTTTATAAAACGATCTTCGAGTTTTATAAAACGGCTTCTTGAGTTTTATAAAAAGATCTTTGAGTTTTATAAAACTATCTTCGAGTTTTATAAAACGGCTTCTCGAGTTTTATAAAACGATCTTCGAGTTTTATAAAACAGCTTCTCGAGTTTTATAAAACGGCTTCTCGAGTTTTATAAAACGATATTCGAGTTTTATAAAACGGCTTCTCGAGTTTTATAAAATGATCCTCGAGTTTTATAAAACGATTCTCGAGTTTTATAAAACGATTCTTTGAGTTTTATAAAACGATTCTCGAATTTTATAAAACGATCCTTGAGTTTTATAAAACGATTCTCGAGTTTTATAAAATGATCCTCGGGTTTTATAAAACGATTCTCGAGTTTTATAAAACGGTCCTCGAATTTTATAAAACGATCCTGGAGTTTTATAAAACGATTCTTTGGGTTTTACAAAACGATTCCTTTTATATTTCTGCGGGGAGTTTCGGCCGTTGATTCCGTCGTACCGATTTTGACCCCAACAATCTACTTAAGAAAAGAGGTATATGGTAAAATACTCTCGTCAAAAGCTAGTGACACATGTATTTTTGTCTTTTTCCATCGTAGCAAATTTTGCAGTTATTAAGTACTTTTTCATGCAAATAACTCTTTTTCTAAAGATCATTTTCTCAGAAATCATATTATAGATATATATATATATATATATATATATATATATATATACTCAATATAAGACATTAATGTTTTATTAAAAAATAAGCATACTTTTTTAAAACATAGTAGTAACTAAATAACTGATCATGCGAATAAAAATGACATAAAATATAGAGATATACTCCCTCTGGATTTAAAAATATGATGTTTAAGGTTTTGCACATATATTAAGAAGTAAGTAATTAACTTTTTTAGTTATTGCTTTTTGGTTTTATCAATAAAGTTCAACCACTCATAATTTTATCTTTTAATTTAAGTTTAATTTTAAAGACAAATGCATTAATTAAATCCTAAAACACCAATTTTTTTGTATACAAGATAAAAATCTAGAACATCTTACATTTAAATACGGAGGGAGTATTAAATAATAAAAGTACAAATGTCCGACTGTAGGGGTGGGCATTCGGGTACCCGTTCGGGTTCGGGTCGGGTATTTTGGGTTTTCGGGTATTTCGGTATTAGGGTTTAGAACCCGTTCGGGTATTTTTACATATCGGGTCGGGTTCGGATATTTTTAGTTCGGGTTCGGTTATTTTGGGTCAGGTTTGGATATTTAGATTTTGGAAGAAAAATTTCAAATTCTTTATTACTTAAGTTTTATGTATTTAAAATTTAACTATTAACTTAACTATTTTTAAAATGTTCAATAAGTTAGACAATTAATAAGTTTGAAAATAAATTATTGAAAATAAAAATCATTATTTTGGTTGTTATTTTCGAATTTTGGATGCAAAATTTGTTTAAAGTATGAAATAAGAAGCTTAATATGTATTTTAAATAAGTAACAAATCACTTTTTTTTACAATTATATGTATATTATCTGATATTAAACTATTTATAACATTAATATAAATAGTTTTAATAAAATGAGACAAAATAAATTAGGAATAAATAGGTATATATACATATGTTCGGTTATCTTCGGATACCCGTTCGGGTTCGGGTATTACCCGTTCGGGTTCGGATATCCAAACTCTTATAACTCAATACCCGTTCGGGTATTTTACTACTTCGGTTCGGATTTCGGTTCGGATATTTCGGGTCGGGTTCGGGTACGAGTTCGGATATCAGATAAAGTGCCCACCCCCGACTGAAAGGAATATTCATTTTTTAAGTTTCAACATTTGTAATTTAGTTTTAATTTGATCTATTAAATGTGCTGAGATGAAAATTAAAATGAATAAGAATCAATAAAATTTCAGCCTTCGAGAGAAATTTGTCTCGTACTTGATTTTAGTCAATTAGACAATTACTAATTCAAGATTGATTCTTGAAAGTTGAAAAAATAGGGATAACGAAGAGACGTAAGGAACTAATATTTAATGGAGATTTCTCTTACCATTAGTATATAGATGCCAGAAGACAGTGCTAGTGAACGACTAAAAAGCCCCAAAACTCCATTTAACCTCTTCATCTTCTTCCCGCTCGTCGTACCTGGAAAATGACTGAAACTGTCTCACCGGATATGAAGTGCGTTTACGTAGATACCAACCTAGACACTCGTCTCATGGTTCTTGTTGACGACCATGAAACCATCTTCGATTTCAAAGGTAAAATATAGTGAACTTCTTTTATTCACTCAATCTCTACATACTCTCACTGAATCTGGTTTCACATATAGAGAAACTATGCAAGGAACATCATCAATGTTTTCCAAAACTTGGAGAAATCGATATTTTTGCGGTAAAGGTAACGAACGCTCTTGCCTTCTTCATCCATGAATATTGTCTTGGTTAGTAAGCAACTAATAAGTCTTAGTGGTTCTGTCTTTTTTTTTATGTTTTTTTTTCCAATAATGCTAATTAGGTTAAGCGCCAGGGTATATTGGGTCTCCTTTTAGATTTTCACTTGCCAGATTCTATGTTCTTGAGTATGGTTTTCAAGGGCGTCAGTCATAATTGCTGGTTTGTGTTCGTTGATGCTGCCGTGAGAATAGTTGAACTCCCGAAGATTGCAGCAACTGATTCTCTACTTTTAGATGGGTACAACAAGAATCAGAATCAAGAAGATTTGGAAACTGGAGGAGCTGAGAAGAGGAAACTGGAGCAGCTTTCATCAGATGGAGAAAAGAGTCTGAAGAAACCAAAAGTTGATGATCTCAGTCAGTCTGCTGGGACTGCTACTGAACTCTCACCAAGAGAAAAACAAGATGATCCTCTTACGGAAGCAAAAGAAAAAGGTAGGTTATTTCTTGTTTTTTTTTATTACTTATTTGGAATGTAGTGATTCTTGTTATCAGATGTTATTAACCTCTGAGTTCTGTGAGCTTTTTTTCTGTTATAAAGTCATAATGTTATTTCTGTTTCTTCTATGTAGAAATTGAGGTGGGTGAAAAATCACTTGAAGATGTAATAAGAGATAATATTGAATCATCAGATAATCTCGTGAGCCACATGGAAAATCATTTGGACATCACTACCAGTGGCTTGACAACGAGACCTGATACCGAGAAGAAGAAAAAGAAGCGAAAGAAGAGATCAAAAGATGACATAAATCAATCCTCTGCTACTACATCATCAAGAGATGCCACCGTGAATGAGATAGATGGAGGAGTTCCTGCAAATGTTGATGCTACTCTCTCTCTTCCAAGCTCTAATCTTGATCATTCTTCTTCTGCAGAAGCAAGGCAGAAAGGTGATTTCAGTTTGTTTAGTTCTCGCCTCTCGTGTATTTTGTATCATCAACTCATGATGTTTGTTGCTGTTGTTGATTCTCTGTGTAGAAAATGACATGGGTGAGAATGTTGTTGAAGATGTGGGTAGAGATAAAATTGAAGCTGACAATCTCATGGAAAATCCTTTGAACACTAACAGTGGGCTAACAGCCAGACCAGATACAGAGAAGAATCAATCTCTAGCTGCTGCGGCTGCTCTTACAACCTCAAGAAGAGATATCGTCAATGAGATTAATGGAGCAAATGTAGATTACGTTGATGATAGTTTTGAATCTCTTCCAGTCCCTAGAGAAGAAAATCCTTTTGTAGAAGCAGCAGCAACTCAGAAAGGTAATTTCAGTTTATTCTTTATATTCAGTTGTTGGATATTTTATATTATCAACTCATGATAATATTGTTGTTGATTCTTTGTAGACATTGACATGTGTGACGGTGATGACATCAATCAATCTTCTGATGTCGCTATTCCAACTTCAAGAGATGTTGTGAAACAGATTAATGAAGTTCCTGCAAATAATGCTGCTCCTGAATCTCTACCTATCGCAAGAGGCACTGACATGTGTGATGATGATGCTAACATCAATCAATCTTCTGATGTCGCTATTTCAAATTCAAGAGATGTTGTGACTACTGAAGTTCCTGATAATGCTGCTCTAGAATCTCTACCTATCGCAAGAGGCACTCCTCCTTTTGCCGAATCAAGTCAGAAAGGTAGTTTTGATCATTTATTAATTACTCATAACGTAATTTTGTTTTCAACTAATAATGTTTCTTGCAGAAAATGAGATATTTGTTGATGATGTGGGAAGAGATAACATTGAACCAAACAGTGTGGGGTTGATGGCAACCAGGCCAGATAAGAGCTCAAAAGATGACATCAATCAGTCTTTTCCTGCCGCTACAGGTTCAAAAGGTCTTGTGAATGAGATAAATGGAGATACTCTTGAATCTCTTTCCATCTCAACAAGAAGAGAAGATCTAGGCACTCCTTATGCAGAAGCAACTCAGATAGGCAATTTCAGTTTATTTATTTCGCCTCTTATACTAACAACTCTCTGGGTGTTTTAAGTCATCAACTCACAATTTTATTGCTGATTTTTGGTTTAGCTTTGCTATTCAATATCATTGTTAGTGTTTCTATTAACTTGTATATTGCTCGTGTAGAAACTGAGACTGGTGAGAAGATTAATGATGACATTGTGGGAGGTGGAAAAGCTGCTGCTGTTGATAATATCCAGCCATTTAATGTTGAAATTGATGCTGATGAAGCTGAATCTGTGAATCCTACTAAGAAGAGAAAGTCCAAAAACTCCAAGACCCCAGCTGAAGAACATACTCTGGTCGCTGCACACAATACTGAGCCTATCAAAGCTGCAGATGGAGAAGAGCCTGATAAGGTATTGGGTTCTTTCAAGGAAAAGAATGAAACAACTGAGGAAAATATGGGAAAAACTGGGAAGAAATCGAAGAAGAAACACTCTTTGAAGGTAGCAATGTCCCCAGAAGTGTCAGTTGAGGTAAACAGTACTCCTTTGGAGGAGACTTGTCACATCAACAGCACAAATGATTCATTTGTTACACCAGCTAAGATAGATACTGAGACCGATGCTTCACTTTTGAAAAAGTGCTATGAGGAGAATGAGGGTGATATGGGAGATAATTTTGGTTGCAGCCAAAATCAAGAGAAGCCAGATCAAGTGGGTGGTGGTGGTGGAGTTAAATCTTTAAAGGAGAAGAGTGGGCTTGATCTTCAGCCAAGCGCTTCCACTAATGTTTCCTTGAGCTCATTTAAAACGAAAGAGAGAAAAAGTGGAGTTCAACAATCTGCTCGTTTAGGTACTTATCGTGTGCAGCAGTCAAGGCTTAAGAGTGTATCCGTGAGAGCTGCCGCTGTGAAGAGCAAGAAACAAGATTTGAAAAAGACAAGCTCAAACCCTGTAGTAGTGATGAAGACGAACTTCTTCAAGGATGCAGAGAATTGTAATTCATCAGAGGATGAATATAAAAAGACGTCTCATGTCTCCACGAAAACACAAGGTAACCAAATTTATAATGCTCCTTTTCTACCAGATATGCTGATTTTACGATCGTTGATTTTGGACAGGAAACAATCTGGCTGGAGGAGCAAGTAAGTAAGTGCCTGGTCAATGTTATTACTTTTGAAACAAATAAGCTAAAATATGGTCATAAAAACTTTTGAACAGGGTTAAAGAGAGCCTACAAGATAGAATTAGAAGATCAAGCAGTTACAAGAAGGCTTTAATTTTAGCTCAGTCACAACCTGATATACATGATGACTCTCCCGAAGATAGTCCCTGATAGCGAAAGCGTCTAAGTTGACGGATTACCCTTCTTTTGGTTCAGTGTTGACTAGAAAAACTGAAAATGAAGCTTATCTTCAAAAATCTCGTTTTGTTTTTGTTTTTTTGTATGACATTTTATGTTGATCAGGAGAGTGCTTTATAAGGGTTAGTTACCTACTATTGCAAGAAATAAATGTTATTAAATCGCAACATAATATGTTTCATGCTTCTATTAATCGTTCATTCCTTTCCTTCGATAGATTGTGTTATTGGTTCTTTATAGATTTCTACACTAGATTTTGATTTCATTTATATATATAAAATATTTATTTACATTGTTACTGGTATTTATTTTAAGATCAATTATATATTTAGATATTTATTTAAGTATTCAAATACAATAATTTTATAGCTTACATGTCATAATTGTTCAATTGTTTCAAACCATCATATGTATCTTATTGAATTTGCATTTGACTATTAAATGAACTAATATATGCATTAAACAACAATATATAAAAATTAATTTGTATTCTATTATGTTAAATTCTTACTCCAACTTCAAAGTTCTATATTACTTTTTAGCAAATTTTTATGCTTATTAATTTTAGATAATATATTTTTTATATATAAAAACTTAAGCTATTTTAATTTCTATACATGTATTATATAGTGTATGTTACCCCGTTTTGCCAACATAATATTATTAACGTAAATATTTATATGTATGGAGATAAAATATATTAATATATCAATTTAATATAATTTCTCATATTTATTTTAATATAATAATTAATTTAATATGATTTTTCATTTTATAAATGCTTACTGAATGTATATTAATGTGTAATAGTATTTTATTATTAGTTATGAAATTAATGAAAATATTTAAATAAAATTGAAAAATGGAGATATTGTTAAAATCTTTTTCAAGATATTTGTTAGAATTTTAAAATTTGAAAGATATCAAAAGATATTATCATTAAAGTAGTTACACATGTTTTATTATTAGCTGTAATGAAATATATTTATATATTTCTAAGGGAAGGTCCAACTTAAAAAATTACACATGAAATGGGATTGTTACTTCTGTTTAATAGATTAGATTAGATATTTTGAATATTTGAGATAGAAATGATTATTTTTGTATAACAGAGTATATTTAAAGTCTTTGTAAAATGTATTATTCGGAATTAGTGAATTTAATTTTTTATTATCATTAAAGTATAAGTAAATTATTTTATATAATTTTCATTTTTTATAAATTAAAAGTAAATTAATTTTAATTTCTAATGATAGTTTATGATAAATAGAATTTAATTTAAAGATTTTGATTATTATGTGATACATGCTGAAGATGTAATACAACTTCCATGTTCTAGCGAGTGTGAAGCTTGGCCAGTATACATTCTAAGAACCGGTTAACTTTATTTTGTTAAGTGTATTTACTGTATAAACCGAACCGGCTGAATAGTTAAACTACAAATTAAAAAAGGGAAAATCGCATAAAAAACCTTCAAGGTGGCAACCACTTACACTTTAAACCCTGAGAGTATTTTACAAGCACTTTAAACACTCAAGTTGGCAAATTTAGCATATTAAACCTCCAATCTGGCTTACTTGTACGTCAAGTTAAAAATGTGACCGGTACTGTTCAAAAGCGATGACGTGTCGTTTTTTTTTTAAAAAAAAAAAAAATTCCGAAAAAATAAATATAAAAATACAGAAAATATAAAAATTCATTAAAAAAGCATTAAAAATTCATTAAAAATTGAAAAAAATCAGAAAAAATTCAGAAAAATCAGAAAAATCATAAACATTAAAAAATGGAAAAATAATTAAAATATTTTATTAATAAAATATTAAAATAAGAAAAACTTAAAAGAAATTATAAAAAAATCCCAAAATAAGAAAATTCAAAAATATTTAAATAAAACAAAAATGAAATTTAAATAAAATTAATATAAGAATAATAGATAAAATAAATATAATTTCAAGAATAAATAATTTTATTTGTTTTATAAAAAAACGAGAAAACACTATATATTTATAAAAAAGAATCATTATCTTCAAATGATTCTCGTGAACCAAATCAAAGCAAACAAATTAAATTCCAAGGATTTTTGTTCTCATTTTGTTGCTTATTAGTCAAGGTTTTCTGAATTTTATAACTAGATTAATATAGGGTATTTTAATAACTGCTAAAAGATTTGGATTTTAACTTGTTTCCTTTGATTTGGTTCACAAGAATCATTTGATGGTATATATCATATACATTCAATTATACGATGACATATATATAATATATAATAGTGACACAAAAAACAAATAAAAATATAATTTAAAAAAAAAAAACTTATGCAGGTGAAAGTCTAGGTGCTAAAAGACTTGGAATTTAGTTTGTTGCTTTGATTTGGTTCACGAGAATCATTTGAAGATAATTAGATTATTGGGAAAATCTCATAAAAATCCTTGGAATTTAAATTGTTTGCTTTGATTTGGTTCACGAGAATCATTTGAAGATAATGATTCTTTTTTATAAATATATAGTGTTTTCTCGTTTTTTTATAAAACAAATAAAATTATTTATTCTTGAAATTATATTTATTTTATCTATTATTCTTATATTAATTTTATTTAAATTTCATTTTTGTTTTATTTAATTTTTTTTGAATTTTCTTATTTTGGGATTTTTATAATTTCTTTTAAGTTTTTCTTATTTTTAATATTTTATTAATAAAATATTTTAATTATTTTTCGATTTTTTAATGTTTATGATTTTTCTGATTTTTCTGAATTTTTTCTGTTTTTTTTCAATTTTTAAAGAATTTTTATTGATTTTTAATGAATTTTTATATTTTCTGTATTTTTATATTTATTTTTTCGTAAATTTTTTTTTAAAAAAAAAAAAAAAACCGACACGTCATCGCTTTTGAACAGTACCGGTCACATTTTTAACTTGATGTACAAGTAAGCCAGATTGGAGGTTTAATATACTAAATTTGCCAACTTGAGTGTTTAAAGTGCTTGTAAAATACTCTCAGGGTTTAAAGTGTAAGTGGTTGCCACCTTGAAGGTTTTTTATGCGATTTTCCCAATTAAAAAATGGTGATCAGAACGGGTTAAGTCCGATGTATGATTTTGTTTAATAACTGTATGAACCGAACATGTTGAATAATCAATCTAATCATGAATTAGGAATGATGGTAGTTAAACCCGATTGTGTTTGTTTATTAATTGTATAAACCGAACTGGTTGAGATGACTCTAATTTAGAAAAAAATAGGTTCGATATATAAGCATATTCTTAAAAATATAGATATACTAAAGTTGTCGTATTTATTCATTAATGATGCAAATATATGATGGTTAACCGAACCGTTTTTCAAGGCGTAGTAGGTAGTTATCGTAACGAATATATATAGTGGCTTTATTAAGTCATAAAATCTTATTAAGAAACATATAAAACATGATTTCTTAGAGAGGGTCCATTTAAAAACAAAAATCACACATCAATAGAAGTTGTGACTTCTGTTTTAATATATAAGATTTATATAATAATATTGAAACTGGAGCCGTGACCACCATCCCAATTCGGTCTGTTTTATCATTAAAACCGATGAACCGGATAAATTAGTTTAGTTTTCAGTATTTGTAGGTTGTGTAACCCTTTTTTCTTCTCGTTGATAAGGTCAATATCAAATTATTAATGTGACGTCAGCATATTACATTTATCAATATTTATTTATTTTATTTTTTGTCGGATCTCCATTATACATTTTCTAGAGGGACTTGACCAACATATCATCGATATACACATCCATTGTTTGTCTGATCTGATCTGCGAACATCGTATTCACCAACTTTTAGTAGGTAGATCCTGCGTTTTTCAGACCGAAGAACATGACCTTCTAACAGTAGATCTCCCTTGATGTCATAAACAAGGTTTTCTCCTAATCTTCGGAGTGCATGAGTATTTGGTTGTAACCGGAGAATGCATCCATAAAACTCATGAGCTGATGTTCTGATGTAGCGTCGACGAGCTTATCGATGTAGGCCAAGGGAAAGGGATTCTTCAGACAGGACTTGTTTAAGTCTGTGAAGTCTATGCAGACCCGCCACTTCCCATTCTTCTTTTTCATTACTACCACATTGGCTAGCCATTCAGAGTATTGCACCTCGCGGATGAACCCCGCATCGAGCAGGTTCTTGATCTCCTCGTTTATTATCGCATCCCTTTTGGAAGCGAACCTCCTTCTCTTTTGTCCAACGGGCTGGTACGATAGATCCACTTGTAGCTTGTGCATGATTATTTCTAGATCGATCCCTGGAATGTTGTATGAGACCAAGAGAAGCAGGTTGAGTTAGACCTGAGGAAGTCTATCAACCTCCTTCTTAGCCCCTCATCCAGTTTAGAGCCGGAATTGAGGTATTTAGCATTTTCTCCTTCGATCAGAGGCACATCATCCACGTCTTCGACTTCCGGCTCTTCGGAATGTTGAGCTGGGACCTCCTTGTGCGGCTGTGGCGGACTCTTATAGTTTTCAGGGTGATTTTGTAGCATGCGTGGGAGTTCACTTGGTCCCCTTTGATCGTTTTACTGCCCCAGGGCGTAGGGAACTTGATTTGCTGATGAAGCGTCAAGGGGACGGCTCCCATATCATGGATTCAGGGTCGTCCCATGATCATATTGTACGAGGATAGACAATCGATGACGAGGAATCTAGTTGGCATGCTGACTCCTCCCATGTAGATAGGAAGGGTCACATCCCGAATGGTCTGCTTGACCTCTCCGCTGAATCCGATGAGCGGGACCACTCTTCTCATAAGGGCATGTTCGTGCAGCCCTAATTCCCGGTAGGTAGCTTGGAAGATGATGTTTCTGGAGTTCCCATTATCCACCGGGATTCTTCTTACTAGGCAATTCACCACGGTGAGTGATACGACTAAGGCGTCGTGATGGGGAGTCAGTACTCTCTTCTGCTCCTCAGGCGTGAAGCTGATCTTGTCGAGACCT